CTACCCCGAAAGTGTACGAAGATAACACTTGTCGTCGACAATCAAGCTTATTCAGCAGCGTTTCCATGGAAATCGTTGAACGTTTCAAGCCGATTTCGAAAGGAAACGCGAGGCAGAACGATTAAATCGGCAATTCGCGACGCGTGAAACGCGTGGAAGCCGGAAAATGATGTAACCGGGATTCCACGATGTTCGTGATCCGGTTGGAAGAAAAGATTCGTGTATAAACGTGAACGTGGAACGCGTCTAAAAAGAAAAATAGGGGACAGACAGAGATATTCTCGGCTCGTAATAATGCGCGTACACGCCGCACAGTCGACCGGCGTGAAACGAAAGCAGATAGGGAAGAATCCGTCTCATGAATATGAATTTCTCGCCTCGGATCTCTTCGACAAGGAAAAAGAATGGCGCGCAAAAAAACTGCCGCGACCCTTGTTCGAGCTATTTAACTCGTGCCCGAGAGACATTATCGGCGGCGCTTCGCGTATCGGGAGAGAACCGGTTGCAAGCTAATGTCCGGCAACTTGTTGACAGGCCACCTACTACGCGAACACCATCTCTTTATCCCATTATTTTCGGTCGAACGATGATAAACCTGATCGTGGTATCTCTCCTACCTGTCGACGCACCACGGTCAAGGTTTTCGTACCTTCTAAATACGATCCCTTTCTATAGATCGAAAACTATTTTTGCATCAAGGGTGTTTCAGAAATCGCGAAAATTGCATACTGAGATTCCTTGTAATAAAAGAGTAACCCTATTTCGTTTACAAGTGAACAATTTTGCAAATGTTAATTACTATTCGGAATATTAGAAATTTTTCCCGAGTCTGAATAGCCTAATTGTTATTTCATAAAATTCACTTAAACTGCAAAGCTAATTTCTTGGTTGAGGTTGTAGGATACTTAGTTCGATTCTGTCAGAACATTCTTTCACATAGAATTTCATTGAATTTTTCTTTTTTGCAAAATAAAGTGGAGCGTGTTAGTTGCTTATCGTCGAAATATTCGTGACTCTATCTCAGTCAGAACGGTTCAGGTAGTTCTTCTACTATTAAAACGTGTATATCTATCTAGGACACACTTCCATTTCGGAGTATAAATGGAGATGCTGCCGGAGATTCGACAGGAGATACCTCGTTTTCGAGGCTAATTAAATCACGAGTGACTGGTCGTTCAATAAGACTGTCGAGCTAATCGAGCGACTGGAAATGGAACGTTGGGAAATTCTCACGGCTGATCCGTAGAATAACAGTCTCTGAAACCTAGGTTTCACCTCGATCTGATCACTTCAGGCATAAAGATTCCAATTCAATACACTATGAAATACAACTCTCCGCGGTTGAACAAACCCCGTCAGTGTTGAATCGTCGTTGAAAAATTTGTTCTCAACGAGCCGGATAATTATGATTCTCACCGTACTACACATACACACACTCGTAGTCGATTTTACACGCTCAATCCGCGTAAAACGTTCCCTTTCGAGCATTATAGCGAGAGACATCCTCTACTCGTTTCGGTTTAGAGGCGACAGGGAGGATTTTATTGCCAGTCATTCAGCGTGCTCGACCGACCATCGCCTGACACCAACGTTCCCCCGCGTAGAAACGCACAATGCGACGTTATCTCGAGCATCGAAGCCCTTTTCCGATCGTTCGATCGCCTCTCCGAGAACAATGAGGATGCATCCGCGGAAACTGTGCACGGGAACGGAAGCGTTTTGTTGAACAAGAGGGGATCGGTGGGGGCACGGTCGATTCTCGAATTCACCGCGGCGAAACACGCGGCTCTTAGACAAATTGGACGGTCACGTATCGTTGCCACTAATTCGGAAGAATTAATGGAATTTCAGGGATCAAGGGAATGGAATTTAATTACTGCGAGGAGGTAGTTCGGTGAGAGAAGTAGCTGGGTTTCCCCTTTTTAGAGTTAATTTAAATGACAATACCGTGCTTGAGTTTCGAAGTTTGTTTTTACGATTTGATTCAACTGCAGGAGGAAAATGAGATTTTATTTCTGCGAGAAAGATCACTTTTCAGGAAATAATGCATGTTATTAATGTGCTCTTAATATTTTGCCGGAAGGTTAGAATTATGTGGCTGTTAGAAATTTACATCTCTGGAGGCTATGAAAAGCTTGTAAGGATACGCTTTTACGGATAATTTCACGACGTGATATCAATTCGGGGATTGAATTTCTTAAATGAAATTGATCGTGTACCCAGCTCAGAATTGTTGGAAATAAAAAAAAAACACACAGATGCTCTTTTGTTCCCCTGGCTGAAGCGTCACGCTTTTGTTCAGCATTTTACGCAACAGAACAAAGAGGGTTCACCTCTTTGTGATCCCTAATCTCTTTCGCCGGCCAAAGTGGATTATGAAACGGTCTCTCTGCAATTTGGATTTGTCCCAAAATCAGCAACCTGTCTTTCATCTTTCGCGTAAACTTGCTGACCATTTTTAACGGTACCTTGTTACCGTCGAAATTTCTTTCGTCTAAACTCGATCTTATAAATAAAAACTAATGGAACCTTTCATAGTCACAGATGTCTTTTTTTTATTACGAAGTTTGCAGAGTTTGATATGAATGGCTGTAACAATAATTTCTCGTACCTCAAAATAACCTATAAAACGATTCTTACGACACTAAAATAACTCATATAAATCTTCTTTCGCAACAACGACCCTATTTATTAAAACATACCTTTTTTTTCTTCACATTCTTCTCCTTTTCAATGCACACATACACAGACGTTATTTCGTGGTTTGACCATAAGAATGTTGAAAACATCAATGGACCTCGTGCGTCATCGATTTTCGCGATGCGCCTGACTTCTGTCCCTTTCGACCTTCACTCTCTCTTTCACAAGCCCCTCCCCCACCAGTGTCTCTCGAAACTACGTAGAAAGAGGCAGCAAAAATCTGTACGATAGCACACAGAACGAAATACACGTTATAAGAGACGAAGGGTTGAAATAATTTTATTGGTCGTAATTAAACCGTGTAATAACGAGACGGTATTAAATGTTGTCTGAAAAGTTCGTACAATTTGCTCTTATACGAGACGGCGGCGTGTTCGCGAGCCGTTTCAGAAGGCAGTCAAGCGAAATCCTCAAATGAAAGAGCAAGAATCGAACGCAGTGGGGCACGAGCGTTATAAAATAAGTGTATTATCACGTAAACGGATATGCCACGAAACCGTTACAGTAACTTGCGTCGAAGATATATATCGGGTACACCTTGAGAGGCCAACTGGTGCGTTCACGTTTCCCTCCAGAATACTACAGCCATCTTTACGGTCGAACTTTTTCGATACTATCGTTTTACGAGAGTCGCCGCTAATAATGGCTGAAACTGGGCGGCGAGCAGCGTTACTACGGCATTGAAATATTTCAAAATTACAGGAACCTAGTTTAAATGGCTAACAGAGTTTACGAAGTTTATAGATAACGAGGGAACTCTTAATTATATAGTGTGCTGGAATATTTAATCGATTCGACTTTTTCATTTCGCAACGACTTCATGGTATATTACTTTATTACTACGTGACTCCCATCGCATGTGTTCTCTTAAGTATGTACAGTTATAGTAACAGAAAAAAACGATTGATTGATTTAAATTTCGAACAATTTGACAACACTATAAACTACGGTGAATTAATTAATTATCGTGCGATTCGTGAAAGTTATGTTTTTGCGTAAACCGGTGATATTCTAACCTAACCTAACCTACTTGTTCATCTTTCAGAGAGATACTAAAAGTCAATCTATTTTTCTTCGATGTTTACTTAATATTTTCACATAAGAACTGCGAGAAATGCGATCTCTCGTCTATATAATACCGCACTGTAGTGACTACTGCAACTAAAATATCTCATCGGGAGGAGCATTCCTAACAAGAATAGAGGTACACGGAATTACATACGGCGTGCTATAAATAGATACTTCTGAAAAAAAGAAAAAGATAAAGAATTCCTCCATCGTCTGTGAAATTCAATAACGAAAAGGAAGAGAACAAAAGGTAAAGGAGAAAAAAAAAAGGATCGACCATGAACACGATAGTGGCGAGAAATTGTTTTGGCGCGAGTATTCGCAACGTTTCGTTTTCTCGCCACTAACTGAAGCGAAAACGCACGAGGCGAGGAGCAAGCTGGAGATCCAGTTATACGCGGGCTGTGTTAAAGATACGCTCTGTAAGCAGAAACATAATCGCAAAGAGGCAAGGTATTACTGTTACAAAAGTTAAGGTCGCTATAAAACACGGCACTACGCGAAACGTTACGTAACATCTTGTTAACTTAAACCTATAGAAACCTGACGGATTTTCAAAAGTGCCGCCTTTTTTAGCGCTGTTTACATGAGAGAAACTTACATCTGTTTCTTTGTCAAAACAGAAAAAGAAGACAATCTTTTTTTTTTATTATTAAGACACATCGTTTTTAACCCTTTCGTTGCTGTTGTAATTTAATAAAATAAACTTTTAAACGATACAGCCAACAAAACGAAAGACTTTGCAGTCACGTGCGTTATATACGAAAATTCTGTCGTAGCGAAAGGGTTAATTTATTCGAAGTAAAAGAAGCTGAGAAAATTTTGATCAGATATCTCGACAACAGTAGGCGGACAAAACTACAGGTAAGGAGAGTTGCGAAAAAAGAAAGAAGCCTCAGCCAACGGTGTGTTAACAAAACACGTCTGGCAAAACATTAATAACACACACGCACGGCGTTAAAGCTGTCGATACTTTTCTCGGCGGTGCAAGCTACGCCTTAGTATCTCAGGTTACCTCTGAATTAGCTTGCTGTATCGTAATAACGATCTTGTTAGAGCTCCTCTCTTCTCCGTTTACCACGTATTGCACCCTTCCTGGATTGGATTCGAACACGATCGAATCACAGAGCAAGACATTAAGAACAATTCACACATACCACACACACTGTGTACACTACCTTTTCTTTTCTCCTTCCTTATTAATTCACAATAAGAAAATCGTGAAATTACAGATGTCTTGGCAAAGGATCTATCTTGGTGTTGGCTTATTGGGTGTCCTGCTGTTGCTGGCCAATGCGGACAACAGCGTGCATATTTTGTCAAAGTATCAACTGATCACTTCGACCACCCTGAACTGGTTGCCCCGCGCCCACTGGGAACCCTCGAGGGAAATCGTCATCGGTGGTTTCGAGATTGAAGAAGGGGAAGGTACGTTTTATCGGCTAGAGGGGAAAAACCAAGTGAAAAATAGTCTGTTCGACAGCTGGCTACGTTAAGGATAACGAAACGGCACCCAGAGAAACATTAACGTAAACCAATATCGTTTGCAGCGTGTGTTTCCTTGCAGTAAAATCGATAAATTACACTTCTCTCCATATTCGTCATTTGATATATTACGAAAGAACCAAGTTTTTTTTTTAAATTAACTATTTTCAGTTGACTCTGCTTGATTAACCCATTCACACACACAGTGTATCATTGTAAAAATTCAAATAAACAAACAATATTTATTTGAAACACATTCTGTGACATGCTCGTTGAAAGGGTTAATTTCTCAAGCAACACGGTTAACACCGTCTTCGACTCGCAGAACTAACAAGCCGAGCCAGCTTAGAGAACGACTATACTCTCCTCTAACGAAGCAACCTACGCCGTGTATCACTTACACCCGGCCAGGTTCCCGGGCTCTAAAGCTCGCTTTAATTTACCGTGCCGCTAATTGTCGCTAAGCAGCGTCTCTCGACGTGCTTCAAAGAGCTTACGAGGATTTTAAGTTTGCCGTGTTACCCGTGGCTAGACACCCGTTACAAGCAACAATACGGGAGAAGAATATAATCGTTTCTATTCTATCTCTAGCAGACAGCGGGAAGATGTTCTATCCTGTCTGTTCGTACAATATATAAACGTGAAGAATACACATTTTGCAGACGACGCGTTCAACAATCAAGCAGAGAAGTCGGAGAGGACGAGGCCCCTGTACGTGTGCCGCGTGTTGCACACGACTGTCTGGGTAGCTGGTAGCCAGAGAGGCAACGAGCAACGATGCACCGTGACGATTCACGGGAGCGTGCAGTCGTACGATAAATACGAGCTGCTGGAAAACGTGGACAATGCGGCCCGCGTCAACTGGGAGCACTGGGATAAATACAAGGCCACCCCAATCGGCGCTGTGGCCACGGAGAAGATGTTTGTCGCACGGCACGCGGTGCACAACGACAAAGAGTCGGCGAAACAGGACGTCGAGACGCCCCGCTACACCCATTATATCGGCACCTTGAATTCGCACGACAATCTTGGGACTATCAGCTATGTCAGAGACGTAAGTAATTACTCACTGTCCTCCCTCCCCTCTCTCTCTCTCTCCTCCCGGAACATCGAAGAAACGCGTGGAATTTTTTTTCACGCTATACTCGGCCAGAGATTAATGCCTCTGCACGGTTGCATCCACGAATGCAACACAGGGAGAAGGATTAAACTGTCGGGAAGAACAGGAAGTGAGGTGTTCTTTCAGCTGTGCATGGCTGCGGTTGGAGGGTGTTTAGATTGGTTTTCACTCGGATCCCGGGGTGAAGAGGGGTTTCAAGTTTTATGGTGAATTAATGCGGTGAAGAGAGGGATGGTGATGAGGATAGCAGGAAGTAATTGGGTGTTGGAGAAGCTAATTGGCCAAGTTTTTATCTGTTCGAGTTCTCGTGTGCGTGAATGTTTGTAACAATTAAATCCTTGATGTTTCAACAAGTATTAACAGCAATTTTTAATTATAATGTTATTTTTTCTCATCTCTATTAGGATGGCACCGAAGGAACCGCCAAGTCGGGTGATGTTCTCGTCGAGACGGAGCCGATCAAGTACGACCTTACGAGGGTTAAATTGAATTGGCCTAAAAAGCGTGTGATCAAACGTACACCCCGTGAATTGTGCAAGGCGACTATCGCCAATATTGGACCGGAAGCCGCTAACATGGCGAAGGCTTTCGGGTACACGTACACGTACGAGGTATACTGGGGTCAAGGCCATGCCATTCTGAAAGGCCTAAATACGACAATTAAACTGACGAACGGCACGGATTTGCCGAAAGTAATGTGGGGCACTATGGAGACCACTAATCGTACCGACGTGTACACGTGAGTATCTTTTATATGTATAATATAAAAGATAAATCCATTAAGAGCGATTAATCATTTCTAATCTTATCGATGCTTCCAAAACAGGGTGGAAATATTCCTGGAACCCGGTACCGGAATAAACGTGACTCTAAACGCCAATTACACCGATATGGAGGTACCCTACTCTGGAACGTTAATCGCCCATTACGAGGATTGCGAAACAAAGTCACGCGTAATAAGCGGTATACGTAGAGAGAAAACGATGTTCGATATAAAGCCCGAATTTGGACCTATTTATTTCCTAGGGAATTATAGTTTAGTTCCTACCACCACGGTTCCGCCCACCACAGAGGCAAGCACAACAGCAATGCCGCAGAACGTGAGCAAGGATACGTACAACAAACAGAACATGGATAACGAGGATCAGGACGAGAATATGATAATACCGCCGAAGAAATCGGATATGTCTAATATGCAGAGCGACGACGGTGGACCGTTGTCATTGAAAAACAAAGTAGAGGTGACAACCTCTAGCGCGTCTCTGTTGAGACTAAATTTCGGGTTGCTTATAGTTTCGTTAACGATGCTCGTCCATAGAATCACGTGAAAATCCTGACAAAGAGATAAATCTTAAATCCTAAGTTGCAAATAGTAATATATTCGTAGATGAAACAGTGTCGAGAGATTACCAAAACAGAAAAAAAAAACATAAAAAAATAATGCAAAAAAAGAATAACAATTAACAAAAATAACAATTAACAAGAACAACCGAATACACAAGATGTTGCTGCAATTTCGTACATATAAGTGAATATGGCGCGAGATAAAATGCTCCGGTTGAATTGCTGACCGTCACAGATCGCGGTGTCAGTGCGCTGACATAATGCTTGCCTTTCGAAGATGAGAAAAAAAATTTGATATTTAGGGGGAATTAAAAAAAAGGAAATACCTTAACGATGAGCTAGTCTCACGACAATGTTAAGTACAAGCGACCGCAAGCCGATGTGTGGATAGGTTTAACACCCGCGGATCGTTAACATTTACCTCTATATTGTTGAATAATACTGATGAATGTAAACTACGACATTCCGTCTTTAACTAATTCCGCTGTGAATCAATTTTCCAGCTAAACTATTTTATGCCTTCGCAAAGTGTACATTTTCTAGGTCTTCTCTAGAAAGGACTTTGAAAAAGCTTCAATGGGAAAAGTAAAAAAAAGACGGTACCCTTCTTTGAGAATCGTGTTCAAAGAGAGTTTAGAATTACCGCAGGTATTATCTCGGGCAACTATATATATATATACATATATGTATAGCTTCTATACGGAAGAAGGTGACGACGAGTAAACGTAGAAGTTGAAACAAAAAAATAAAGAAAAAGAAAAGAACGGAGGGACAAAGATGCGCGAGTTAATGCAGCCACGATATATATTTTTGAGATTGCAGTATAATTTTAGAAAAATTGTAAGATTTATAAAGGTGTAGCGAGTAAGAATTTGTAGGGTACAGGTGGATGGGTACGTGGTATTTTTTCAATGCTATTTTAATATCATTTTTCCGACTAATGTAAAGCTTTTGAACGATTCTTAGGTAAATCGAAATAGTAGAATTTGCTATATATTAGTAATAGTAAAAGATGCGCATGCTGCTGGAGAATGAGTCATAATGTGTAAATTTCCGAATAATATTAAAGAAAACTGAAAAATTCTTAAATTACTAATAGTTCCGTTAATCGATGATAATTCGTTTGGAATTCAACGAAAAAACTATAATATTTTGTGTACCCATCTGTCTCTCATGTAAAGTGATAGGGCTTGCAGATTCCTAGAAAATAATTATTAATGGAAATTGTAATGGCAAAGGAAGGCAGTATTTTAATTTGTATAGATATGTTAATAATTTGTAAGGTACGTTTGCCTGATAAGCAAAAGAGAAATATGGACTTATTTAATTCTACATTTAATTTAAACGGTTTTAGTTGAATGTACGAGGAATAAAAATAGTATTGCCGTACGTTCGTTGTATTTTACTATGATAATTTTCTTCGAACATTTGTATGTATATAACGTAATTTCTATACTCTTATTAGGTGTAATTGTTACAAACTTATTTAATCATTTTCCTCACAATTTCTCCTAACAATGGTAAATAACATTGTACGAATTATCATATTTTATTACATTGTAGCGCCAATGGAAAACGGGGAAACATTCATTTTGAAGACGAATAAAATGTCCATGGGTTTCTAATAACATTTATCAAAGTAAGCCTAATCACAATATTGTGATATTCAGTGAAATTTTATGTAGATGTAAAAGAATGTGACATATTCTGTTGAATGATTTGTTAATTATCGTAGAAAGCAATAATTTGTTGCGCGATTGGGACATGCGAGTTTTAGAATGTTGCGTGTTTAAATGAAGCAGAAAAAAAATGTAGCAATAAATGAGCAATATTTTCTCATTGTGAATAATGTGACATAATAGATGTGGTCCAAAGTGATTGAACAGTATGTTTCCAGGATGAAATTAATGAAAAAAAAAATGAAAGATGTAGGATATCTCTATATTTGGAAGAAAGAAATTGCTGCTTATTTTTCAGTTGCTTCTTCATATTTCTGTAAGCCTTTGAGAAAATGTTAATAAAAATTCCAATGTGAAAAACTGCATTTAGCAATACCCAGGACTGTCCTTAGTTTCAATAAGTATCTGTATTGTACAGATACATTATTTATGAATCATTATGTTGTATATTATCATGTAAATACAAATGCTATATATACATATAAGACTCTGTATGTAAAAATGTATATATCTTTCAATAATTTGCGAATGCATGTGTGTTACAATACTTTTTATGTTAAAAAACACACCCTTCATTGTGTCTTCACATTTTTTTCTTAAAAAATATCTAGCTATATCCCTCTTTTCCCACATGTACAATAAATAATTTGAGTAAAATTAACAGGTCAACCAAATATTCTTTTATATCATTTCACCTTCAAATTTTAATCACAGAAGTACTGACGAGATGTAATATTAAAATCACAATTGTATAAAATGTAAATCTTTTAAATAATATACAAAATACAATAAATAGAAAGGTATAAATGTATCATAAAGCTACTCTGAAAAGTATGAGTTATATATGAAAATTACTTACCAAGGACCCCATACTGTTGTGGAGTAAGTCTTACATCACCATCTGGACCTCCTGGAACAGAGGATATAAGTGATGCTCGATCACTTATATGACTCCTACTGCTGGCTTCACTTTTTCTTGCCAATGATACTTGTGATAATGCATCTACACATATGAAATAAACATAAAATGTTGATTTAATGCACAATTTTATACTAAATAACACCTCCAGATTTAATATTGATCAGAATTACTTTAATAGTTATATATAAAATTATATTTTGTGTTGATGAATTACCAAAATTGGAACTCTTTGCAGCTGCATATCTCTGTTTTAATTCTCTCAGAGGTCTTCTTGAAGAAGGAAGAGGATGTCTTCTTCGTCTTTTTAAAAACTGTGCCAATCCGCCTAATAGTAATGATCCTCCAGTAAGACAAATAATAAAAATCTATGAAGAAAAACAAAAGGTATTATATTATCATCATTAAAATAATATTATACAACATTTGCGTATAAATGTCTTTCCAATTATTAAGAACTATAATATAATGTAAAAAATATGAAGTATCATTTTTAAATATTATGTAATATTGAAATTATCGAATGTAAATATATTTATCCTAACCTCAAAAAGAGATACTTGCTTTTTGAGTTCTAGATAAGTTTACCGCTGGCAGTGAAATTATATAACGTTTATACAATGCACTTAAAAACTGCTGCGCGTTAAAAATAGACATTGCAAGTGTCTTTATTATAAACAATATAAACGCAGATTCCCACACGGTTTGAACCAAAGAACAATCATTAGTTTAGGAAGGAACACTACAACGAACGTTTGTGCGGTAAATATTCAAAGTATGGCCTTTTACTACAGTCATATAAGATATGCAATAACGTAGGTACAAGCTGAATCACACATTAAGGTGAGTGTCACTAGTCGTAGGGACTTTTGGTAGATGACGCTCAAGAGTTCATGGCGCCTGGGGTATGTCATAGCCAATGAAAACATCATAGAAGGATAGTTCAAAATTTTAAAAACAAAACTTTAAATATTTCAAATTATTTATATTGTAACAACCATCAACGAAGACGGCGATAAAAAATTTCCATTCCGCAAGAGGAAGTGAGAGGGACGACTCTCTATCCTCGTCGTCAATCAAATAATCGCGAAGCTATAGAAGTTTCTAGAAGAAACTAGCTTGCGATCCGCGGTAGACTCGCGGTTTCGCGCGGGAAAACACTTAGCGACGCGTCTTGTTGATAAGCCGCGCTTCATTAGCAACGCTCAACTATAAATACCACGGCCGCGGACGCAGCCAAGCATTCTTGCTGATTGCTGCGCAGGTGTTTTGCAAATTTTCCTGCCCCAGCTATTTCTCATTATTCATGTTACTAAACCACTTTTATTTATTTTAGAGTGTAAGGAGCGACGAAACTCCAGGAAACTCTGCGACCCTTCCTCCCTCACCAGAGACGTAATAGTCTGACAAAAAAAAAAAAAAAAACGCAGCCACGCATTCTTGCTGTACTCTGCTGGGAGAGAACGAGGTATTACCATTGGTCGCCGTTCAGAGTGGGAGAGTACGAAGCCTAGCTTTCGGACGCCCTTACAGATTGCTTAGTACTTCTGGTGGTGTGGAGAGAACGGCTGGACTATCCGCCGGTCGTCTCTGAGAGAGAGTACAGGGAGGTTACCTGGACGCCTGAGAAAGCTCGGAGAGGATTGCTTAGTACTTCTGTTGGTATGGAGAGAACGACGGACTATCCGCCGGTCGCCTACCAGGAGAAGTGCGGGTGGACGCTCCGATCATACGCGTATCACTTAAATATAGGAGAGTACGAGAGCTATGTATACCTGGGTCGCTCCTGGAATGGAAAGAACGGCTGGACTATCCGCCGGACGCCTTCCAGAGAGCAGAGTACAGGAGGCTCACCGGACGCCTTCCCACAGTAATTGTTATAAATCGTTTTATCCGTTTCGTTAATATTGTAACGGGAGAGTACCGCTGCTTAAAGCCAGACGCCCGAAAGCAAAAGCAACAGCTCGAACACTGCACTGATTTGTTCGAAATTATTTTGTACCAAACATTTAACATGTATCGACGAAAGATAAATAAACCTTTTGTGTGTTTTTTCCCAGATACCAAAGAATATCCTTGCATTCCATAAAATCCTACTACAATATATAAAATATTCTGTATGTAATCCTAAAATAAAATGCAGCTTATTATAAAACACCTTTACTTCCTCTAAAAATAGATTTTTAAAATTATTGAAATATCCACCTTCTTATACAAAAATTTTATTATTAATCCTAGTTATAATGTTTATAAAGAAAATTTAGAAAATTATAAACGCTTTTATAACTTGAACCATTTATATAATTCTCATAATGCTAACAATATATCATATAAAAATAAATTTTTCATTTCATGTCATCCCAATCACCAAAGTCTTCTTCATTGAATTCAAGTAAACCTTTAAATTCATCTGTTGTTGCAGGAGACAAACTTTCTAACGAGATATTTTCACTATTTTCGTTGCTTTGTACAATTTTTTCGTCAGCTTTATATTCGTATTGTTCCTTGTCTATAAAAATATCTAAAGTTGTTTGCATTGAACGTAAGGCATGTTTTGTAACGTCAATATCTTTAAGTGAAAATTCTTGATCAAGTCCAGCTTCATTTAATACGTTCATTTTCTTCTGGATTAATGGCCATAAATAATCATCTGACGTTTGTTTCGCAACCAAATACTGAATCAAAACATTTTCATTTTGACCAATTCTATGTGCTCTATCTTCTGCTTGACACAGAATCTGTAATAAAAAATATGATTGATGTAATTTAATCTTAAATAATTATAATTTTGGAAAACAATAAAAGTGATAAGTACTCCCGGATTCCAAAACAATTCTGCAAAAACTACGAGTTGCGCAGCTGTCAACGTAATCCCCGCATTTGCTGCTGTAATTGATAAAATTGCTGCCACATAGTCTTCGCAAGATTGAAACTTATCAACTTCAGATTTTCTACGTTCAGGATTTGTAGTACCGTCAATTCTAATATATCTAAAACATATAAATCAGTTACACATAAATAAAAATCTTATCTTTGTATATGAAAGCAATAATTACAAAGAATTACTTTATTTTCATTGATTCTGCAACATCACAAATGGCATCCAAAATATTACGATGATGGGCAAATATAATAAACTTCTCTTTAGCTTTAAATAGTTTTGAGATATAATCACTAAAACATAATTATTATTGTAGCTCTTAGAAAAGTATGTATAATTTTCGAATAATTATTAAATAATAGTGTAATTTACCATATAGCTTTCTGTTTAGCAATACTGGATTCATTATAATACTGTATAAGAGTATTATGTCTTTTTACACCAGTTAAAACATTACGTTCTAAAGTTTTGGATATTTTTAACATTTCCTTGGTACCAGCTTGTATTAAATCTGGATCTAGTATAACAATTTCTCTACAATTTTGATTAATAAAACTAATATCTATATTTGTATATATTAAAATAAATCAGTGTAACAAATTTTGTCTCCCACCTCTTTTTCTTTGGTAATTGATTTAAAACGTCATTTTTTAACCTTCGAATTACGCAAGTGTGTTTTAATAACAATTGCAATTCTTGCATGTTTGATGACCCTAAAAAAACCCATCCATATGAAGCTTTTTCTCCTGCACAATATCGAATACCATATTCCTGATATCTGCGTAAAAACGACATTCTTACTTAGGCGTACATTTCTTTTAATAAACATTTTATATTACCCCATAAACGTAGGCATTATAAGATTTATCTGAGAATATAATTCTATGGGCCTTGATAGAGCAGGAGTTCCAGAAAGCAAAACAACATGACGTGCTTGTGCAACTACACATTGAATAGCCTTAAATCTTGCAGTGTTTACATTTTTTAAAGCATGAGATTCATCCTATACATAAATTTACTTATTCCAATAAACTGTAAGAAATAAGAAATTATATTCAAAAACAAAGTTATCCAATAACATACCAAAATAACAAAACCAAAGCTTCGGCGTGTGAATGTATCTACGGCTCGCACTATAAGATCATAAGTTGTAATAACAATGTTGTTATTATCCAAAAAGTCTTTTGTACTTGAATAATGATGAATGTACTGTGCAGGCACTGATGGCAAAAATGTATATATTGATTCTGACCAGTGATATCTGAAGTCACAGAAAAACCACTTTTATCATTTACAGACATATAATGAAATATATCTATATAATTTGCAGTTTTTCATTTTTATACCTAACGGATGATGGCGCAACGATAAGTAGAGGCCAATTACTTCTGAAGTTGTGTGCAATGCCTAATGCTTGAATGGTTTTACCCAGACCCATGTCATCAGCAATCATGCAACGACCAGATTTAGATATTCCATAGCTTATGATAACAAAAACATATTCATTATTAATTTTGATACCGTTTCACTTTAAACATTTTAAGAAATTAATAAACCATATAATTATACCATATTCCTTCCCGCTGAAAGGGCATTAAACTCTCTACTAAGTGAGGATCAATGTTTGATAAATCTATATTATCAACAATTTTCTCTGAGGTAGAATTTTTTCTGAATATCTAAGAAATATTTTAAATATATAAATCCAGTGACAATAATGTTTAAATTTAATTACATTTCCATTATGTTTAAATGTTATACCTGAACAATTATCTGTGGTATTCCCACTACTTGTATGTCAGCTTTGAAATGAATGATTTTCTCCATTACAGTTTCATAATCTTTTAACAAAAAATTCCAGGTTTTTGTTTTCATGTCTGAAACAAGTGCATATAATGCACACTGTTACTTTTAATACTTTTAAACTTAAAGATTAAAGTAATAATAATATTGTATTGAATATACATGGATATACTTCCTACATTACCATATGATCTACTTGGAATTGTTTTCAATGTTTCAATAAGTGGAACGAAGTATGATGATGTTTCCAATGTAAATCTTTCATCAGTTATCATGTAACATTTTCCTGTAATGCGAGATTTTTGGCCAAAAAAATTCTGTGTTGAAATAGGATTAAAACGTTCCTTGTGTTTATTGAAGTTTGTATTGCTTTTATTGAGGTTATTTCCAAACTTTGCTTTGAAGTCAACATATTTTGTTGCACCATTTCCAAGAGATTTAGTGACATTAATTGACTTATTTTCCTTGACAATAATATTGCTATTACTAGAAAGAATATTACTTCTAATATTTGTAGAGCCACTCAAATTACTTTTTGACTGAGCATGTTGTTTACGTTGTAAGGCTAACAAACGCTTTTTTTCTATTTCTTCCTGAGAATAACTCATGCCTACAATATCATATATTTAATTTAAAAATTTTTGATAAAAAGCTGCTATATTTTCATTGTATTGTAGTTACAAACCTGGTGTATATAAATATTCTTTTTTATAAAATTTGTATACTCAATATAATATTGAAAATATACAACAACGCACATTATCTTTCCATTGTCCACTGCTTTATAATCTTAATTAGTTTATGTGAAATTGGAATAGTGACGAATTATATAAAATTTATAAACAACTGATATACACATTTTCACTACAGTATACAGCAAAGCTGTCCAGCAGTAAAGCGCTTTGTACGCATACTTCCTCTTCCATGCATATCTTTCACGCACTGTACCTACGTCGTTAGAAAAATTCGCGACATTAACGATTGTGAACTATTGACTTTTGTGGCCTGTCATTCAATTACAAAGCGATTAAAAAAAGTAATTCTTTTCCTTTGACGATTTGTAATTTACGCTACCGATGTTTCAAATTCATTTTTTGCTCTGTTCTTTTCATATTCCTTTGCTAGTAACTTTGAGTTTGTAATTCATGCTAAAGCACAATTTTGAAAAGTGTACTTTGTGACATTTAAACTTCTTCAACGTAACATTAAAACATTAACAATATTAGACAGTTATAATTTATAACATTCTGTTATTTACTTTTAGATAAAATTTAGTATCTAGGGAAAATTGTTCCTTTATAGTTAAACTATGAGGATCGTAACAAGCTATTTTCACTAACTTTTATACATAGTATGATTGGTTTTGCTTTTAGGCATAGTGAATTCATGTATACAAGTACGTGGACATCGTTTGGAGTTTCGTTTCAATTTTAATGATTAAAGATCATGTATTATCTTAGTTTAATTTCTACTCTTATGAAGCTTTGTTATGACAATATGTTTATTAAGTGAAAGCGTCTTTAATGTTTTCTTTTTCAGTTTTGACGATCGTAGAGTTAAATTCGTATGCCTCTGGAAACTCTATCGCGAATACTTAAAGTGATTTAAGTTTTAACAATATTACATGTATGTAATTCAAATGTTTTATAATATTATAATACGTATATAATTCAAGTACGCCTTCTTCTTTTTTTGAAAACAGTCTAGATTACTTATTTTCAATGAATGATAATTAAGTTCTAAGATAACTATGATGTCAACGTCAAAGTTACCGATTTCACGTATGTATTTTATATAAATACGAAATGATAAATTAGTAAGATAGAATAATCATTTTCAAATATATTTTAGCCGATGACCATGAATTCGTCATCCCGAAGAAGTCGATTAAAATACCGGCTGATATGACAGTTTGGGAAAAGTCAGAAGCGTATTTTGTAAGAATATTTGTATCACATATTTTTCTATTATACATTGTTATAGACTTCAATATATGAGGATATTTAAAAACTCCTATATACCAAATTCTTAAAAAAATATTTTTGCAGGAGTATTTAGGATTTATATTAGCCTTAAATGAGTCAGTTCAAGGAAAAGCATTAACCGTTGAATGCTCAAAAAGTCCTGTAATAGAAAATGTAATTCAAATGCTTAATAAGTTTGATGAATGGATAACAGAAATACCTCCCACTGAACAGCCTCAACGTTTTGGTAATAAATCATTTAGACTATGGCATGAAAGATTACAACAGGTAAATATACATTATTTTTACATACATATTTTCAAAGTCTATTGATTCATTAAATTTTAGAATGGAATAGAGGAGTTACAACAAGTAATTCCAGAAAAATTACATAGAGCAGTACCAGAAATAGTTCAATATTTATATGAAGGCTTTGGTAACCCAACACGCATAGATTATGGCACAGGACATGAAATGGCATTTTTGATGTTCTTGTGTTGTATGTTCAAAATTGGTGCTTTCACACAAGATGATAAAGTTGCTGTAGTTGTCAAAATATTTAATAGGTAATGTACTCTCCATTTAGTACAAAGCCTAGAATTTTTTATATTTGCGAAAATTAAAATAATTTTATTTTTGATAGATATCTGGAATTAGTACGCAGATTACAGTTAGTTTATCGGATGGAACCTGCAGGTAGTCATGGTGTTTGGAGCTTAGATGATTACCAATTCGTTCCATTTATATGGGGAAGTGCCCAATTGATTGGTATAATCTTTTTCACATTTTTATTTTTATTATAAAATATTAAAAGTATATATTTACATAACACATGAACATTACAGGACATCCTCGTATAGAACCACGCCACTTTGTTGAGCCAGACATTATTCAGGCTTTTAACAAGCATTACATGTTTCTTGGTTGCATTGAATTTATTGCAAAGGTTTATACATACATATATACATATACACATAGTTACATGATTATTAACATGTTTTACATTTAAAAACTGCTAAATATTATTGTAGGTAAAGATAGGTCCATTTGCTGAACATTCAAATCAGTTATGGAATGTTAGTGCAGTGTCTTCATGGGTCAAAGTAAATAGTGGTCTTATTAAAATGTACAAAGCTGAGGTAAACATTTATGGCTTTTAATGATTTTACATATAATAAGAAAATAATTTAAGTGATTATGTTGTGTATATATATATATATATACATGATATATGTTATATGATACTTTAAATATCAGGTTCTAGCAAAATTTCCTGTTATTCAACACGTTCTATTTGGTTCTTTACTACCGATAAAATCGGCATCTGCTTCTGCTGTTGGAAAAGAGCCTCGTCAAGATCAAGCTGCGCAATCATCGCGTCCTCAGTAATAAGATTATATGAATACGCTTCATATTTGTTGATGTAGTTTGTAACAAACATTCAATATTTATAATAAAATTGTACATTGCAAGTATTTGCTAAATTTTAAATTATCTTATCAATAATTTTATTACAGTGTGTTCAGTTTGTCAATTTGTTATTATTAAATAGTGGAAGATTATAAATTTAAATTTTGCAAGAAGTTAATTGTACTAAATAGCAATGTATTAATAGATACTTTAAGAATTGTCTAAGATAATGTATGAACTATTTAAAATTTATTTATTGTAAACAATATTATAAGTTACAGAAAATTATTCATAATGTATAAGGCATATTGTCATGAACATTGCTTCAGTATGAATACTTAACAGATTATTTTTGCATTTCACCCAATCTATAATTTGTTTGTATACAAACATGTATCTACTATAGAGAGTCCTCTTACACGAAAGTAAACATTGTTTCAACAAATATTTTGTGCAAAAATTATTAAACAAGTTAGAAGTAATTTAATAAAATGTAAAAATATATAAAGTAAATTACTTGCTGTGAAATATTAAAATTTTTATTGCATTTGAAAAACGAAATGTATAAAATATACTTTATAGAAATAATATTTCTTCTAGCAATAATATATCTAGCAAATTGTGAAAGATCAAGTGGCTTATACATAGATAATGGATTCAACCAAACAATTCTACATAAAATTGCTAGTAATGAGCAAAGGCGAGACATGGAGCGTAAATTGTTAAATATTCTAGAATTACCTGATAGTCCAAGGAGAACTGTACGCCGATCTTTAATGGTGAAAAGATCGGCACCAAAATTTTTGTTAAACATTTATAAGAACATTTTATCAAATGGTACAGATATATCAATTCAAGAAGAATATGGGAGTGTAGAAGAATTCGATTTAAGTGGTCGCGATATTAGTATAATTGAACAAAGTGATTTAATTATGACATTTGGTGCTCATAATCCACACTCAGGCAATGCATCTAAAACTAATCGTGGCAAAAGAATTTGGTTTGATGTATCAGAAGTGCCGAGAGGAGAGCATATTATTACAGCTGAATTGCGACTATATCAAAGTTTGGATAAAAGTGTTAAATTTAATAAAGCTTATACCATAGCAATATATAGGGTGGCTCGAACGAAAGATGGAGGACGAATTAAGCATTACATTGATTCAGTTAATACTACAATAGGTACAGAAGGCTGGATAGCACTAAATATAAGTGAAGCTCTTGAACATTGGGTTAAATATCCAAAAGAAAACCGAGGTTTATTTTTAGCTGTGCATCATGCTGATTATACAGGTCACATTATAAGACCTGATGATATAGGAATTATAGGTGTTTTAGGAATTCCAGATAAACAACCATTTATGGTAGGGTTTTTTAAAACTTCTGCTAATTATAGTAAACGCAAAATATTACATAAACAAAAAAGAGATGTTGAACGTGAAAAACTACATTTTAATAGTGTAAATATTCAAAATAATCCCTATGTTAATACTGTAACAAAAAAAAGAAGGGAAAATGTATGCAATATTAAAACACTGTATATAAGTTTTAAAGATCTTCAATGGCAGGATTGGATCATAGCTCCAGAAGGATATGATGCTTATTATTGTAGTGGAGATTGTAATTTTCCATTAAACATTCATATGAATGCAACCAATCATGCCATTGTACAAACTTTAGTACACCTTATGAAACCACATGAAATACCAAAACCATGTTGTGCACCTACAAAACTATCACCAATATCAGTACTATATTTTCTTGATGATAGCAATGTTGTCTTAAAAAAATATAAAAACATGGTTATTGATAGCTGTGGTTGTCTTTAAACGAAGTAAATAGTACTCTTTAATACAAATTGTTTAGTTTTCAATTTCTTAGAACAGTGACAATTTTTTAACAGTTTAAAATGAGGACAATAAGATTTCAATAAATGAAAGAATTGATATTGCTATTAAAAACATATATTTATATCACATTTATCACAAAGTATTAAAATGATAGTATATTCGTAATAAAATATTTTAATAATAATAACATGTATAAAAATATTTTTGAATTATATGATATGTAGTTCCATGTATTTTAGTTAATGTACAAAAACATTATAACAAGAATAAAAAACATATGCTTAAAGCATAGAACGTTTCATTCCTTGATGAACAATTTCGTTTACTATTAAACCGGCAATTTCTTCAGATTTAAAATTTAATTCTGTAAGAATCTCTATAGTATGCTCACCAGGTTCAGGATTTTTTTCATATCCGTTGGACGTTCCGGGAGTTCGAGACAAACGAGGAGCGGGGTTTGGAATTACTGAATCGCGACTTATAGTACTAAAGGTATGCCTTTCTTTATTATGTGCATGAAATGCAACATCTTTTAAATTTAGAACAGGTGTTACACAAGCATCTGTGCCATCAAATAAAGCACACCACTCAGCTTGCGATTTTTGCTTAAATATTTTTTCTAGTTTTTCACGATTTTCTTCAAATTTATCATATTGTGGCATTTCATCTAACGAAAGACCAAGTTTCTCTAAAAATATCTCATAAAATTGTGGTTCAAGTGCTCCAACACACATATATTGTTTATCCTTTGTTTCATATGTTTCATAAAAATGTGTTCCAGAATCTAATCTATTGAGAATAATCACAAATATTATTCATCTATTTGTTTACAATAAAAGAAAGTAAATGCAAATAAAGTAAAGAGTGTTTCAGTTTAAAAACTCTTACATATTTTTACCACGTGGGTTTCCCCATAGTCCAGGTACTTGCTGAGATCTAAACAACCAACTGCCTAAATATGCTGATCCATCTACCATTGATGCATCAATTACCTGACCAATGTTACTTTTGCTACATTCAAACAATGCTAGTATTATTCCAAAGGCACACATTAATCCACCACCACCAAAATCAGCTGCTAGATTAACTGGTGGTGTTGGTTTTTGACCATAACGTCCAAATAAAGATAATAAACCTAAATAATACTAAAAGTAATTTAGAAAACCCTCAAACATTTGAAGTAAAACAAGCAAGTGTAAATTAAAATTAAATATGTTATAAATTTGCAATACCAGATAAAGCTAAATAATTGATATCATGTCCAGCCATATTAGCATAAGGTCCAGTTTGACCAAATCCTGTCAGTCTAGCATATATCAATTTCTTATTTGTTTTCATAAGTTCTTTTGGTCCAAGTTTTATATTTTCCATTACTCCTATTGAATTAACATTATATTAGATCATTAAGACAATTCTTCATAAAACTACAGATGTCACAATGATACAAAATAATACAAACCAGGCCTATAAGGGTCTATAACTACATCACTTTGATTACTTAATCTTTTAAATATATTAACACCTTCATGAGTTTTTAAATTTAATGCAAGTGATCTTTTTCCTTGACCAAGAGAATCAACACTACCATAAGACCCACTAATCTATAGAAAACAAGTATTATTATATTAAATTACATATGTTAAAGTTATTGTGTATAAAAACATGTTATACTAAAGTGGAATTTACATAGACTGAAATAAAATAATAGTTGTATTTTAATTATACCTTATCTACTTTAATTACTGATGCACCAAATTCAGCTAATATCATTCCACAAAAAGGACCTGGTGCAAGTCCAGCTAATTCTAAAACTTTTATACCTTTTAAAGGCATATTTGTAACAAGATACTACTACAGGAAGTGAGACAGAATGAATTCAAAATTTTTCTGCGCAATATTTACATTAATTACCTTAGTATCAGTAATTCAAAAAATGTGATTTTAAACAAGTTACAAACACTATCAGGCATTACGCATTTATAAATATATGTATTCATTACCTTTTCATTTAAATATAAAGATATAAGTCACGTAGTTTAGAACTTTTTTCAAATATAGTTGCTTTAAGGTTGGTAGTAAAATCTCTAGCGAAAAAATGAATATTGGTAACATTGGCACGCAGTGTGTGGTAAATAAATATTGTTGTAACCTGTAACAAAATAAATCTTATTGATTATAGACAAATTCAATTACAATATTGTCAAAATGAATCCAACGGAACCAACCAGTACTGAAACTTTAAGGTAATTTAAAGAATACAAGAATTATTTAAAATAATTGTCTTTGTGAGAATTTATAGTAATATACCGGC